GAGCCTGATGCGGGGCTCGATCCCAGGATCCTGGGATCATGACCTGAGCCGAAGGCAGAGGCTTTAACCCACTGAGCCACCCAGGCGCCCCGAGCATCCTCATTTTTTAAAAAGATTTAATTAATTGATTGATTAATTTGAGAGAGACAGAAAGAGAGCATGAGCACAAGCCGGGGAGGCGGGGGAAGCAGAGGGGAGAAACAGACTCCCCCCTGAGCAGGGAGCCGCTGCTCCAGACGGTAGCTGAAGACAGATGTTCAACGGACTGAGCCACCCAGAAACCCCATTGAGAATTTTCATTTAAAGATGAGGAAATTTAAGGGTGCCTGGCTGGCTCAGTCGGCAGAGTTCACGACTCTCTCTCTCTCTCTCAAAGATCTTATTTTATTATTTTTAAAATATTTTATTATTTATCTATTTGACAAGGAGAGATAGGGAGAGAGGGAACACAAGCACAGGGGAGCTGGAGAGGGAGAAGCAGGTTCCCCGCTGAGCAGGGGGCCAGATGCAGGGCTGGATCCCAGGACCCTGGGATCATGACCTGAACCGAAGGCAGCCACTTAACCAACTGAGTCACCCAGGTACCTCTAAGATTTTATTCTTAAGTAATCTCTACACCCAACATTGGTCTTGAACTCACAACTCTGAGATCAGAAGTTAAAGGCTTGATCTCTGGGTTGTAAGTTTGAGCTCCATTTTGGGTATAGAGATTACTTAAAAATAATTTTTTAAAAAAGATTTTATTTGTTTATTTCAGAGAGAGAGAAAGAGAGTGCGAGCAAGCAAGGGGAGTGGCAGAGGGAGAAGCAGACTCCCCACTGAGCAGGAAGCAAGACGGTGGGGCTCAAACCCAGGCCTGTGGGATCATGACCTGAGTGGAAGGCAGAGGCTTAACTGACTGAGCCACACAGGCAACCCCAAAATAAAATCTTTCTAAAAAATGAAGAAATTGGGCGCCTGGGTGGTTCAGTGGGTTAAGCCTCTGCCTTCAGCTCAGGTCATGATCTCAGGGTCCTGGGATCAAGTCCCACATTGGGCACTCTGCTCAGCAGGGAGCCTGCTTCCCTTCCTCTCTCTCTGCCTGCCTCTCTGCCTACTTGTGATCTCTCTCTCTCTGTTAAATAAATAATTAAAATCTTACCCCCCAAAATGAAGAAATTTAGCATAAAAGAGGATAAAATCCTAACAAAGCAGATTCTCCCTTTGAGAGAACTCAAATTAAAACCTTTAAATTTCTGGGTGCCTGGGTGGCTCAGTGGTTTAAGCCTCTGCCTTCGGCTCAGGTCATGATCCCGGGGTCCTGGGATCGAGCCCCGCATCGGGCTCTCTGCTCAGCAGGGAGCCTGTTTCCCTTCCTCTCTCTCTGCTGGCCTCTCTGCCTGCTTGTGATCTCTCTCTCTGTCAAATAAATAAATAAAAATCTTAAAAAAAATAAAACCTTTAAATTTCTGATTTCAGAGGCTTCATCCTATATTACATATTACATCAAACATTAAAAAGGAAGGGAAGGGGAGCCTGGGTAGCTTAGTCTGCCTTAGAGACTCAGCTCCTGATCCCAGGGGCCTGGGATTAAGCCCGGAATCCAGCTCCTTGCTCAGCAGGGAGCCTGCTTCTCCCTCTCCCACTCCCCCTGGTTGTGTTCCCTCTCTCGATGTCTCTCTTTCTGTCAAATAAATAAATAAAATCTTAAAAAAATAAAAAGGAACAGGAAATGTAAAAAGAACAATTTCAGGTAGTCACACATGTGGAGTTATATAATTGGATAATGTAAATAGGGAGAGGGGGTAAGGGAATGGGGAGGAAGGAGGAGGCTACTTTGGATTGGGTGGTCTGAGAAGGCCTTTTGGAGAATGTGACATTTGAGTTGAAACCTATGTGACCAAAAGGAACCAGTCCTGTGAACACCTGGGGGAAGATTGTTCTAGGCTGAAGGAAGAGTCCTTGCAAAGGCCCTAAGGCAGGAACAAATCTGGCATCTTTGGAAAACAGAAAAGAAGCTTGTGTGTTTGGAAGGCTATGAGCTTGAAGTGACAGCCAGAGACTAGATTCTGTCAGGTCTCGGGTCACAGTTAAGAGTTTAGGGCGCCTGGGTGGCTCAGTGGGTTAAGCCTCTGACTTTAGCTCAGGTCATGATCTCAGGGTCCTGAGATTGAGCCCCACATCCGGCTCTCTGCTCAGCAGGGAGCCTGCTTCCCCACTCTTCTCTGTGCCTGCCTCTCTGCCTACTTGTGGTATCTGTCTGTCAAATAAATAAAATCTTGAAAAAAAAAAAGAGTTTAGGCAATGGGAAGTCATTGTGAAATATTTTAGCACTCAAACAAATAAAACTTATGTTTCAAACATTTACTTTGGGGCACCTGGGTGGATCAGTTGGTTAAGCGTCTGCCTTCGGCTCAGGTCATGATCTCAGGGTCCTGGGATTGAGCCCTACATTGGGGGGGGGTGTCCCTGCTCAGTGGGGAGTCTGCTTCTCCTTCTCTCTCTGCCTCTGTGTTCTTCGTCTGTCTGTCTCTCAAATAAATAAATAAAATCCTTAAAAACAACAATAATAACAAAACATTTACTTTGGCTGTTTTAGGAAAAGAAGGGATGTAGGATTGAAAGAGGGCAAGAGCGACACGTAGGAGATCGGAGGGTAGTGCTTTCACCCAGAGAAGACCTGACAGAGGCTTGGATGGGCTGGTGGTAGAGGGAGGAAAAGCACTTGTATCAGAAGAGGAATCGGTAGATCTGAGAACGACCAGATGTAAAAGGCCAGAAGAAGAATCATTAACGTGGGTCCCGTGAATGAAATCATCTGAAACTGGAATTGTCTCCTCAAATCAGGACTTTGTGATTGCCACAGTTTTATGCTTCTGGAAACTTCCCAGCCTTCTCTTCCTCAGATTAAAAGCCAGAGGCAAGACTGCCCTCATTCACATCCCAGGAGTCTGCATCTTCAGCAGCAAGCCAGGGGAGTCTGGAGTCCTGAGGGCTGAGTAGAGCAGGAAAACTCAGTGTTTGTGAAACCGAGAATCTGGAATCTGGCAGAGGGATGGCTCAGTGGGGCTTTCAAGGGATAAGCCTGGGTTTGAAGGACTCGCTGCTCCCACACTTAAGTCTAAAACAGCGACCAGGAACTATTCAGTTCTCTCATATTTCAGTCAGCAAAATGAAGCCTTGTTCAAGGTCACAGAACCCACCTACTGTCTGAGGAGAGATCCCTAGATAAACTGAGGGTGCGTGTTAAATGGCCAGCCCAAAGA